ATAAAATACTATTTAAAGATTTTCAAAGTGTTTTCATCAGAGTCAGGAAGTTCTTCCATAATATGGCTCTGGATCAAGCAACTTATTTAACTCAAAAAAAGTGAGGCAAAATATAGCTCATGCTCTTGTCATGAGCACAGGTGCAGCTTTCCCTATAGACAGGGAAAAAACCATTATCCGTCAAGCAAAGCTGGCACACAAACCCTTGTGCTGTTGAATTGCTATGCTGTCAGATGTGGTGGAGGCTCTGAAACACTAACTGTGATTGGTGCTTTTACTCCCATAAACAGAATATTTATACCTGGAAAATGAGCTGTAGACTCATCATTGGTATACCAACTGAACAGCTTGAAATACTCGATTTCTGTTTTCTCAGGGCTGTGGTTTTCTGGTTGATGGTTCTTAATCCAAAGAGTTGACATAACAATTGTTTTATTAAATTGGAAGAAACGATATGATAAGCATGTGACCATTTAGACTTAATACAATACTGGATAAGTTGCCAACACAGGGCATTAGGGTGTATGCTGCAGTCATAGATCTACCCCATATAAAGCAAGAGCAAATAGAATTGATTTTACATATTTTAGAGAGGAAGTACAGAAAATATGGACCCTAGGGGACCTTCTGGAATGTTTCTGTTTATTGCCATTTCCACTGGTAAAACTCAGAGATTTCAACAGTCATCAGGATGAAGTTCTAGGGATCACAGTCATGTGAGGCATTCTCTGCACTTGGATCTCCAGTGAGGCAACGGGAAGATGAAACACATAGTGGGATATGGAGGTGTAAACACCAGAGACAGTCTCCTGGTCAGCTGTCATGACATGAGTGAGGCTAGGAGACAATGAGTGAGTGAGGGCGACATGAGTGAGACTGGGAGACAATTACGCTGCACGAAAGTCACCAGCTATGAAAGAACATATGCTGTATTCCATTTATGTGCAATTCTTAAAAAGAAAGTGGAATCTATATGAACAATAAGCCAACCAAGGATTTTCTGTTCTGTGAGGTAGAAAGCAAGTTGCTTCCTGAAGAGCAGGACAAAACTTTCTGGAGTTAGAGAAATGTTCTGTGTATTGATTTTGCTTACAAGAATGTGTTGATTTATAAAACCTTGTTCGACAGTACACTTAAAATCAGTGTATTTGACTGGAATCATTTTTTTCAATAAAATTGGTTAACCGTGAATAGTGAGTAATTGCAAATCCAATTAAGTAACGTTGTCTTCACATCTTTTATTCTTGCAGTGTGCTGGAAGCTACATGAGCCAAAAGTTATTTCTGGGAGATAATCGCAGCCTGACACTAAAGAACTGCGTATCTTCTGGCAATAGCTCCTTTTTCCAGGTATCTTTGGATTTTTCCAAGAATTTAAATGTATTTCACAGGTTAAATCAAAATGGTAGGCTTTTAATACACATTTCTTAATTATATCAGCTAAAATTCTAAGCAATAAAAAGTGATTAAAAATTAGTAAAGAATTTAAAAGCAAGGAAATATTTTTTAAGTTAGGGAAAGAGACCCAACATATCTTACGGTTCATATACATTTTTCGTAAATTAAAATTACCTATCAAGAGTTCTTATAAAATCTGTAATACTTTTTATAATGTGTGTTCACTAAATGTTTAGATATACAGATGGACTCCATTTCTCTTTTTTCTTAAGATTTTTATATATTCGTAACAGATACCAGTCTTTAATTTCTTTGTTTGGTTATATCCATATTAATTTTTGGACTACAGGACGTTATGACCTCCTATAATAATTCTGAGAGCATTTTCTTGGTTCACTTGAATCTTTGTGTAACTTTGATAAGCAGTTTGTCACTAAACACCAAATACAAAATTGGAGTTTTTTTTCTGGGTAACTTTTTATTACAGATTTCTTGTTACTTTTGAGGCAAGACGTACGCAGGACTTCACTCTGGACCAGATGTGAGGCTGGCCAAAACAGGAACACGGTTCTGAAAGGACCGCTCCATAAGATATGCTCACCAATGCCATGACAGTTTACCGTTGCCATAGCAACATCCAGAAGTCACAGTCCCTTGCCAGGGCAACACCTGGAAATTCCTGCCCCTGCCATGGCAACACCTGGAAGCTGGGGCACACCACCCACTTTCTCGCTATTTCTGAACAACCCACCCCTTAATTATCACGTGATTAAAGGTGGGTATAAATGTGACTGTAAAACTGCCCCTGGCTGCCCCTCTCGGCCCTCTGACTATGAAATACCCCTGCTCTGCAACACCGCTGCCACCTCAATAAAGCTGTTTTCTTCTATCACCAGCTTACTCTTACATTCCTTCCTAAGCAAAGCCAGGAACTCGCCTTGCATCAGTATTGAGCCAGCCACTCACCACTAGAGATGGTGAGAGGCAGCCTTTGATGTGGCAGTGAGATGGTGGAAACAGAGGAGACGCAAGACAGCAAGACACAGCACGAGATGGCA